GTATGGACAAATCTCAAAAACATCAAGTGGTGGAAAAAGATATTCTCCTGAATCATTAAAGTGGCACAAGACAACAGCCACTACAGTTCGACCCAACCGGTAGATCGAAAACCAGTTTCCTTCGCAGAGTTCAAGGAGCAGCTGATTCTTCACCTGGTAGAAATTTCTAAGGCCAAGAACGCTGAAACACTCATTGCCCTAGTGCCCACCCAATCAAAGCGAGGGGAAAACCCCATCAACAGTGCAGACGCGCATCTCAGTGAAAAGAAGCACCTGATCGACAGTGATGGGCATGATTGACAGTGTGCATACCTACAGTGCGCAAAACAACAAAACGCAGTTGTTGTGTATGCATCAGATGCAGAGAAAGGCTTCATCTATGTGTTAAAAAGTCAGAGGCGTAGCGAAGGGGGGCAGATGTCCCCGGGCGCCAGCTAGTTAGGGGCGCCAAAATGTGCTTTGATATTATTTTATTGATAAAAATAATGGGTTTGAGAGTTGAAAAAAGAAAAGGGGGCGCTTTAAAATGAATCTTGTCCCCGGGCGCCAAACACCCTCGCTACGCCTCTGTAAAAAGTGCTTCAGAAAGTACCACCCAGAAAGAAATTTTTACTAAAGTAAAAACATTTTGTAAATAATATGCTTTACATTTATTGTATATGAAAATATGTTGTTGGCATCCGTTCGTCACAAGGGGAAGATGGTGTAGACTTCGCAGGACGAAATCCACAAGGCCTGATATAAGCTGATTTCCAATCACAGCAAATCGCCTCTCTCCCGTCCGCGTCGCTAGATAACCCAAGAGAACATCACGTGGATGAAACAGCTTGTCACCAGTGACGTCACAGGATTTGTCGTAATGTTTCACCGTTTCAAAGTTATCCGTCAACGGATTTAAATTCAGAGTTGCCTTCTCTTAGATGAGTTGACGTCCTAGGTTCAGCGAGTCCCATCGATGTCTTTGCTTGACTAGGCATTGGTGCATGCAAAATATGTGCATTAATAAAAAAAAAAAATTGGGATGGGGAGGGGGGTGAAAAGGGGGAAGAGTCGCTAAAATTCAAACTTTCCCCTTGGCGAAGCTTTTGCTCGCCATGGCCATGCCTAGGTGGAAAGTTGAATTAGATACAACTATACAATGAGACCAATAGGCCGGCAGCTACGTGGATAGATTAGTGGATGGATAAGTGGGCAGGGGATGAGATGAATTAAAAGACACATCTACAGGCAAATGTTAGAATTTTAAATAGAAAGAGAGAAACAAAGAGCGTGAAAAATATAATAAAAAAAGAAATTGAGAAAATGAAACAAAAAAAGGAATGAAAGTGAGATTGTACAAAAGAGAAAGAAAGAAAACTATAGGGGACAATTGGAAGAGAGGGTGATAAACAGAGTGAGGGAAAGAGAGAAGGAAAAAGAAATAAAGATAAAAAAAGAAAGAAAGAAAGAAGTAAAGAAAGAGACAGTGCTGCTTGACCACACAATTTAATTGTGACCTAGACCAGGGGTCGGCAACCTTTTGAGACGGAAGAGCCAAAAGTTACAATTTACAAAATTTCCCAGTTTTTAAAGAGCCACTAACATCTTTATTTCAACATAATCATTAATATTGGCGCATGGAACTGGAGAGCCGCATCTTGACATCAAAAGAGCCGCAGGTTGCCGACCCCTGACCTAGACGGATACATAACTACACGCTTTATCTTCGTCAGACTGTAGCGACGAACCTGCAACAAAACGATTCGTCGCAATTGTAATAAAAAAAATGTACATGCTGTTTTATGAAACAAAGGAATTGCCGGGCACACACTTAAACAATAAAACAATAACAATCCTACATAATAGTGCAACACCCGCCATTGTCAGCCTTGTAGAGGAAGCACCTGTATCGCAACACCCGCCATTGTCAGCCTTGTAGAGGAAGCACCTGTATCGGGGCGTTTTCTTTATTAAGTTACGGTACAGAAATAAATACAAAGTTGATTAGTCTGTCTCACAACAAGGGCCTGAGATTTAAATGTGAAATGTGGAAGACAAAATCATATACAGGATTCTACATTTGTTTGGCCAATGCCACAGCCCCGATTTAAACAAACTAATATTTACGAAAAAAATTATATTTATTTCAGGTTTGAAAAAGTGTCAGTTTTCCCCGTGCGCCAAACCAAGATGGTGGAGTCCCTTACAGGCGGGGATTATGCTGCAATTGTGGTCTATTTTATTTTAGTCCTTGCAGTCGGATTTTGGGTGAGTTGAGATGTTCTGTTGGAATATTTAAAATAGACCTTTATAGATTAGAATGATGATGACTGATAACTTGTATAGCGCTTGTGTCCATGCTCAAAGCGATCTGATCTCATAAACTCTATTTAAATATAAAATGTATTTAAATGTTTCTAAATGATTTTTTTATCATTTTTAAAAACCACCAAAGACTGAAGCAAAACTGTTCCATAATTTAGGCGCTATTGTATCAAAAGAGAAAAGAGCGCACTCCGAAGGATTTCATTTTTTTTGTCCATCCACACTGGGAACTCTGAGTAGGGACTGTGATGAAGAGCGCAGGTTCTTTAAGGATACGCGTTTGGAAATAAGTTCTTTAAGATATTCAGGTGCAGAGACTTCCATACAGCTGTACGCATGGGACATATTTTTGACATTTATGCGCTCACTCACCAGAATCCAGTGGATATCTTTAAGAACTGAGGTGACTGGGGTGATGTGGTCAGATTTCTTTTTCCGCGATACAATGCGTAGTGCAGTATTTTGTACCTTCTGGAGTCTCTGAAGTTGGTTTTGAGGTAGGCCCCACAGACAACTGACAGTAATCCAACCTTGATCGGATTAGAGAGACTGCTACGGCATCGGCTGTTCTCTCATTAAGTTTAATACATTGTTACGTTGACTATTCAACAAAAATGTACGTCCGAACTAATCGCAATTCGAAAAAAATCTCTGATGGAACAAACCTCCATCGAAATAACCCCATTGAACAAACCTCCATCGAAATAACCCCATTGAACAAACCTCCATCGAAATAACCCCATTGAACAAACCTCCATTGAAATAACCCCATTGAACAAACCTCCATTGAACAAACCTCTACTGAACAAAAATCCATTGAACAAACCTCCATTGAACAAACCTCTACTGAACAAAAATTCATTGAACAAACCTCCATTGAAAAAAACCTCCATTGAACAAACCTCTACTGAACAAACCTCCATTTAACAAACCTCCATCGAACAAACCTCCATTTAGCAAACCTCAATCGAACAAAACTAAATTGAACAAACCTTCTTTGAACAAACCTCCATTGAACAAACCTCCATTGAAATAACTTCCATTGAACAAACCTCCATTGAAAAAAACTCCATCAAACAAACCTCCATTGAAAAAACCTCAATTGAAGAAATATCCATTGAACAAACCTGCATTGAACAAACCGCAAACGAACAAACCTCCATTAAATAAACCTCCACCAAAAAAACCTCAATTGAACAAACCTCCACCGAACAAACCTCCATCGAAAAAACCTCAATCGAACAAACCTCCATCGAACAAACCTCCATTGAAGAAACCCTCATCGAACAAACCTAAACTGAACAAACCTCTATCAAACAAACCTGAAGTGAACAAAAATTCATTAAACAAACCTCAATCGAACAAAACTCCATTGAACAAACCTCCATCGAACAAACCTCCATCGAACAAACATTAATCGAACAAAACCCCATCGAATAAACCTCAATCGAACAAACCCTCATTGAACTAACCTCCATTGAACACCTCTATTGAACAAACCTCCATTGAACAAACATCCATCGGACAAACCTCCACCCAACAAACCTCCATTGAACAAACCTCCATTGAACAAACCTCCATCGAACAAACCTCCATCGAACAAACCTCCATTGAACAAATCTCCATTGAACAAACCTCCATCGAACAAACGTCAATTGAACAAACCTCATTTGAACAAACCTCCATCGAATAAACCTCAATTGAACAAACCTCCATTGAACAAACCTCCATTGAACAAACCTCCATCGAAAAAACCTCCATCGAACAAACCTCAATTGAACAAACCTCCATTGAACAAACCTCCATGAACAAACCTCCAACGAATAAACTTCCATTGAACAAACCTTAATTGAACAAACCTCCACAGAACAAAACTTCATGGAACAAACCTCAATTGAACAAACCTCCATTGAACAAACTTCCATCGAACCAACCTCAACCGAACAAGCCTCCATTGAAAAAACCTCCATCTATCAAACCTCCATTGAACAAACCTCCACAAAACAAACCTCCATTGAACAAACCTACATGGAACAAACCTTCATTGAACAAACCTTCATTGAACAAACGTCCACCAAACAAACCTCCATTCAACATACCTCCACCGATCAAACCTCCATTGAACAAACCTCAATTGCACAAACCTTCATTGAAGAAACCCCCATCGAACAAACCTCCACTGAACAAACCTCCATCGAACAAATCTCAATTGAAAAAACTCCATTAAACAAACATCCATTGAACAAAACTCCATTGAACAAATGTCCATCGAACAAACCTCCATCGAAAAAACCTCCATCGATCACACCTCCATCGAACAAACCTCCATCGAACCATCCTACATTGAACAAACCTCCATCGAACAAACCTCCATCGAACCATCCTACATTGAACAAACCTCCATCGAACAAACCTCCATCGATCACACCTCCATCGAACAAACCTCCATCGAACCATCCTACATTGAACAAACCTCCATTCAAAAACCTCCATTGAACAAACCTCCATTGAACTCCATTGAACAAACCTCAATTGAACAAACCTCCATTGAACAAACATCCATCGGAAAAACCTCCAATGAACAAACCTCCTTTGAACAAACCTCCATTGAACAAACCTCAACCGAACAAACCTCCTCCAATAAGTTATTCTTTTAGTTCAGTGTATTCGAAAGATGAAACAAACAAAAAAAATATATTTCTTTCCAGTCCACATTCCGGCCACACAGAGACAACGCAGCAGGCTATTTTCTGGCGGGGAAGAACATGCACTGGTTTCCGGTGAGTCAAAAGTCTTAACGCATTTGAAAAGTGTTTGTGTGGCTTAATACATGGGATGCAAATAAAATAGCTAGGTTAAGTTTTTGTGGTCACATTATAAGTGTAAAACGTGAGAATCAGCCACCGTGTGAAGTTGATTTAGTTTTTTGCATAGTTATCTTTATTTATATGTGTTGATCACATGGCAAGGAAGTCACGCAGCAAGTGTATGTTTAAATATTTAAAAGTCATCTTCGCAGTGATGTTTAATCCAGTTTTTTTACTCGACCACCAAGAAAAACAAATACACCAGGTCGTAAAAATGAAAATGTTTAATGTTATGACCTTGTGGTGATCCTGCAGGTAGGGGCGTCCATCTTTGCCAGTAATGTTGGGGCCCGCATGTTCGTAGGTCTTCCTGGTACAGCGGCGGCGTCAGGGTTCTCCAGCGTTATTTACGAGTGGCATGTATGTACTAAAAAAAATATTTTTTTTTCTAGAATTAAGGGGGCTGGATTAAGAGTGGGAGTGGATTTAAATAATTTAGTACTTATTTAAATGTTAAGTTTTAAGATATTTGAAAGATTTTATTTTGGAAAAAAAAAAAAAAAAAAAAAAAAAAATAACAATAATACTTCTGAATGAATTTCTTTAAAGAACGTTTTCTTTGAAAAAAAAATCATTTGAAAATACGCCCACCAAGTCCGCACGATTAGATTTGATTGTAATACTATCTGAAGACATGCGGCCAAAAATTTAGTTAAGTAAAAATATCTAGTCATAATAAATGAACCAGGTCATTGGTAAGATATTATTTATTTTCAGGCCATTTATCTGCTGATAGCGCTTGGATGGATTTTTGTTCCAGTCTATGTGTCGTGTGGGGTAAGTTTTGGGTGTTCCACGTGGGGGTAAGTGGTAGGTGTGTCGTGTGGGGTAAGTGGTAGGTGTGTCGTGTGGGGTAAGTTGTTGGTGTGTCGTGTGGGGTAAGTGGTAGGTGTGCCGTGTGGGGTAAGTGGTAGATGTGTCGTGCGGGGTAAGTTGTTGGTGTGTCGTGTGGGGTGAGTTGTTGGCGCGTTTGATGTTTGGTGTTGTAGGTGGGGGTAAGTGGTAGGTGTGTCGTGTGGGGTTAGTGGTAGGTGTGCCGTGTGGGGTAAGTGGTAGATGTGTCGTGTGGGGTAAGTTGTTGGTGTGTCGTGTGGGGTAAGTGGTAGGTGTGTCGTGTGGGGTAAGTGGTAGGTGTGTCGTGCGGGGTAAGTTGTTGGTGTGTCGTGTGGGGTAAGTTGTTGGCGCGTTTGATATTTGATGTACATTTGTGTGTGTGTGAGTGTGTGTTGAGATCGAAACATGAAAATATTAATGTGCAAAAACTTTAAAGGTGAGTAAGTATTAGTTCCGTGGTTTAAATGGAGTACAGTTGATAAATTCTACGCCAATCTCACGCAGGCCTTCACGATGCCGGAGTACCTCAAGAAAAGATTCGGAGGAAAAAGACTGAGAATTTATCTTTCTGTTCTGGCCCTCGTCTTATACGTTTTGACAAAAATATCGGTAAGCTGCTCGATTAAAAAAAAAGAGGTTTATAATATATATACAGGTTGCGATTATGAAATAGTATTAATTAGTATACTCTAATCGTCCTCTATTTATTAGGTTCGTAATATTTTTTCCTTGAAATGCTATCCATGTACTAAAATAAATACATAGGTGAAATGTAGATACAAATTACGTGAGTTTTTTTAAGATATGAACAGAGCCTACAAAGTTTACAATGTATCCAGTTAAAAACCTCTGTTTGAAGTTAGTATGTGTGGAGTATGGGAGTTCACTAACAATTGTTGCGTAATGAATGTATCTCGTTTTATTTTGCGCGGCGTTTTAAAAAAGATTTATTAGTTAATGAACGCCTCTTCCCTGCATTGTACTTGGTGACGTAGTTTCATGGTAATTATGACGTATTGTCTATTCTTTCCTTTGGCGTTTGTGTTTATTTCGTCAGCACTCTTCAAAGAACCGTGTAGGGCAGTGGTTCTCAGTCTTCTTAAATCCGCGACCATTTAATACAGTTCATTATGTTGTGGTGAGCCCCAACCATAAAATTATTTTCATTACCACTTCATAAATATGTATTTTCGAATGGTCTTAGGCGACCCATTTGTAACGAGTCGTTCGACCCCAAAGGGGTCGCGACCCACAGATTGAAACCCGCTGTTGTAGAGGATAGTTGTGTAGTTTATTCTCGCTGATAGCATGCAGTACTAGTTTGATGAAATGTACAGCATTTTAAATATACTTACAGGCTTAATTTACTTTACTAGAGGGAAAGGACTTTTGTTTAATTCGGTGCATATGACAAATGAACTTGTGAAGAATGTGATGAATTAAACCAATGGCCGGCAAAATCAGCAGCAGGACGATTAAAAAAAAAAAAAGTTGAGAGCCAAATTTCTTTTCAAGAACCAATTTTTTCGGAGTCAAAACCAATTTGTGGCTGACTGGCCGAGCCGCACTCAGGTCACTGAAGAGCCACATGCGGCTCGCGAGCGGTGGTTTGCCGACATATGAATTAAACCTATCAAATATACTAACGTTTGGAAGGTATACATTTTTTTTTCATAGTAGAAAGCCTTTCCAATACGGTGTCTGGAAACCCATTTGGAGTTGGAGTCGAAGCATACTTTAGTTGGACTTTGTTAAGTGACAATAGCGTAAACCTCCTCATTGTGCTGGGAAATCTTTTCGCAGGCAGAGATTTTCTCCGGTGCCATCTTCATGCAGCAGCTGCTAGGGTGGAACATGTACGCTTGCATAGGAGTCATTCTGGTCGTCACCACACTTTACACAGTCGCTGGTGAGTTGTGTACTGTACTCAGTACAGTCGCTGGTGAGTTGTGTACTGTAATCAGTACTGTAGATGGTGAGTTATTTAATGAGTTATGCAGCTGGTAGGTCATGTACTGTACTCAGCACTGTAGCTGAAAAGCTATGTAACATATTCACTGCTGCACACTGTCCCGCACAGTAATGAAATTACGCCATCAATTTGGGTCTGAGATTCGGATGAAGCACATTAAAAAGGCTCGCTACATTTTAGTTGTGCCGTTTGAAGAAAAAAACGAAACAATAACAAAAAAAAAATGAATGTTGACTGAATATGGACAAAATGGATGAATGTGGACTGAATTGATGTATGTGGACTGAATGTGGACTGAATGGATGAATGTGGACTGAATGGGGAAATGTGGACTGAATGGGGAAATGTGGACTGAATGGGGAAATGTCGACTGAATGGGGGAATGTGGACTGAATGATTGTATTTTCTGATAAAGTGCTAAAATTTTTTCGAATTTTTTTTTGTTGTATTTATCACAATTCATTTTTTTTTTAGGTGGACTTGCAGCTGTCATCTACACAGACACTCTCCAGACCATCATCTTGCTGATTGGTGCGGTCATTCTGTTTGGTATTAGTAAGTGTGCACCAAGTAAAAATGACGGAAAATGTCACACAGACCTCTCACTGCAGTTGTTTGACCAAACAATGATGTTATTTTTAAAATTAATGATTTTTTAAAATGCATTGTCTTCAAAGTCAAAGTGACCTCTTGCACACAGACAAAACGTTCACATATTTAGTTGAATGTATTAGCAGGCACGAAGGTCCGTGACCTTGCTGTAAGGATTAAAAAAAAACCGTTTTCAGTGTTATTTCTTAGCGTAACTAAAGAATATGTTAGGGGCTATTCAGTGTGTGTGGGTGTGTGTGTTTGTGGGGGGGGGGGGTACTGGGTGGTTGGTGGAGAAATCACTCGTTTACAACGTAGACGCTTTGGGCAGTGGCTGCAAATGGATATGATCTAGAAATGCGTCTGTGTACAATAGGCCCATCCCATCTTTTGTTTTAGGCCTCTGACTCTTGTGACCACCCCTCCAAATGATGCCATATCTCTTTCCCAAGAAAAAACAACAACAAAAGTTCTGTACTCTCATCTCTGAGCTGGGCTCCGCCATTTGAAAACAATATTTAACTATGGTGTGTCTTGTGTCAATCCATTAGCATTTATGTGTGTCCACCTTGGGTTATGACACACTCAATTTTTGTTGTTGCTGTTGATACTAATATGACAGCAGGGCCGACCCTAACAATTGCGGGGCCCTATGCGAAACGGAATGCGCGGGGCCCAGTCTGGGTAGGGATAAGGATAATAAGTGAAAATTAAGATTTTGTATTAGAAAATAAATTAGCGCGGGGCCTATGAAAGTGCGGGGCCCACTGCGGCCGCATGGGTTGCAGTGGCCTAAGGTGACAGGAGGGTCTTGAGGTCACAATAATCAAGATGGGAGCTGGGGTACTAAAGGTGTCACATATGATTCTAATGGGCAGTGTGGACCATTTAGGTTGCCCTGATATTTCAACAGGTCGTCTGGCCAGGAATGGGAGAGTGGGTGTCCATCCTGTAATGTTGTAACGTTATGGACAAGTACCTGGTATTTAGAGATCAGAGTATGTGACGTTCAATCAGTAGAAATGGAAAATGAGTAAATCAAAGTAAGGTCAAACCTGAAAAAGGAGCGCAACAAAACAACGAACGTGTAGCCAGGAAGCCTTCGTCAGCAAACAAACAACTAAAAAAAACCAGAGTAAATTAAACAAAAAATTTCACTTAGCTGAGAGGTAGTATTCGTAGAGGGCAGCTAAAGAAATGAGTAGAAAGCAGGACACAGCTGTGTTTATAATTGGTTAAGGAAATTCCGCCAGGTAGGAGTTGTGAGAGACAGTAAGAACGATTCTTGAATGTATTTTTTAATACACATATCTAAGAACTAAGAATACGTGGTCAAATGAATTCTAAGTGAATTATGTTTGATCTGATGAATTTCTACAACTTTGGAACTGCTGTGACAAAAAATAAAAAAAATATTGACCGTGTCTTTGAAAGTACCTGTAAAGACTATCATTAAGTCCTGAAAATGTAAAGCTTTGACTGGTGAACATTTAGAAAATCTAATGAGGCCAGATGCTACTGAAAACTGCCTGAAATTAAGAAACTATAAAGTACTATTCAAAGCCATATATTATATCATTAAAATTATTGCCACCGATTTTGGTAACTTTATTTATATTTTAGATAAGCCTATAATGTTATTCTTTATGTTATTGTATATATCATTCTTTATGCATAATCTAAAAAGTAGTAATAGTGTGAATAATTTTCCAAAAAGTAAAAAAAACCCCACCAACCTTTGAGATGCCGTGAGCGGCCCGGCAGAGAACTCATTTCTTTGTCAAAAAGGTTGGACAGCGATGATGTAGGCTGTCCATCTGTTAGCCTGGCTTTCCATCTCTGCTTGTTCCATATTGTTTAACTTTTTATCCGGTCCCAATAAAGTCATAAAATCATAAAACCACAGCCAAATCACACAAGTTTCTTATTTCTATCACTCTTGTGCCAACCCATGCTAAAATGATTTTTATTGCCAATGGTATCATAAAAATAAATCGGAAATTAATTTTTATACACACATAATACATAAAGTAATACATATAGTTGAATCCATTGATGACAGATCGAGCTGAACTATTTTATCCCGGAAAAATCGATCTTTTAGTAAATATTTAATTCTAAAGAAGTGCAACAAATATGATTTGCATATCAGATCGTCGGGCGAAACTGTGGGATATATGCTTGTGATTTGATGCACTGTTTCTCACTGCAGCTATGACTGACATCGGTGGATGGAGTGCCTTCATTTCACTCTATGCAACAGCGGCCTCGAACATGACGTTAAGTGACCCCGTCAAGTACGCCTGTGGACTGCCCAGACCTGGTAAGACATCTTTTGTTAGTATTTGAGACGTACGGTATAGCATGAAATTGCTGAGATGCTGGGTCGGCCCTACGGTTGCTGGCGACCCTGGCAAGCTTAACTTTGGTGTCACTTTTAAGTATAATCATACAATTTTTTGCAAGGAAAACAAAAACTAGGGGTTAGGTAATGAGTTTATTACTTAGGCTTTAAAAAATTACAATGATATTGGATTTTTAAACTTGTATTTGGACAGTATGAACACTTAGCCCACCGATGACAGTATGAACAATTAGCCCACCGATGACAGTATGAACAATTAGCCCACCGATGACAGTATGAACAATTAGCCAACCGATGACAGTATGAACAATTAGCCCACCGATGACAGTATGAACAATTAGCCCACCGATGATAGTATGAACAATTAGCCCACCGATGACAGTATGAACAATTAGCCCACCGATGACAGTATGAACAATTAGCCCACAGAGGACATTTTTTTCCAGCCTTAGATCATCATTTCTTTTTTTTGGACGTTCTATTTTTGTCCATGGTGCTCACATGCCATGCCTTTCCTTTTTTTTTGGAAGATCGTTGATGGCGCCTTAATCACATGGCGCCCCGGGCAACTGCCCGAGTTGCACGGTACCTTCAGCCGGCCCTGCTGATATGAGACTTCTAATCCTAAAAATCTGTCACAATGTTGATTTCAATATATATCTTACAGGCAAAGTGTGTAATCCAGGCACAAATGCCTAGCCATTCTATAGAATGCCTGACGATTCCAGTCAACATATGTAATACATATAGACATTATACACATTGCCTAGGCATTCTGTAGAATTCCTGACTGGACTTAGGGGCCGTTCGCAAATTACGTCACGCAAAAAATGACCTTTTTAGATCCCCCTCCCACCTGTCACAAAGTGTCACTAATTCTTTACCCCTCCACCCCCACCCTTAGCCTTTAGTGTCACGTCACGCCTAAAAAAATCAAAACATACATACAATTTTCATAATTAAACTAAGATTATATTTTATTCTTTAAAATTTTCCCATAATGATAATGAATTAAGATGTAGTATTATTAGAAATATGTGACGCGAAACAACGAAGTCACCCCCGCACCGAACGTAAAATGGCCACAACAGTTTTTGCGCAAAAGTTGTGCGCGACTGAAGTTCACGTTGCCTGTAATACATGAGGCGATTTCGACCTCAAATTGATGTTTTTAGAGTTAATTGAATAAAAGATTTTTCAAAAATTGTAAAGTTTATATTTAGAAGAATTAAAAAAAATATAACTGTGACGTCACAAATTCTCTACCGCCCCCTCCCCCCCCCCCCACTTCTGGGCGTTATGCAATTTGCGAACGACCACTTAAGTAAAGAATACTACATCATAAATGGGATTGGAGGTTTTAGTTTTATAAAAAAAAAACAACAGGGAAAAAACAAAATTTTAAATAAACAGTCTGTCAGAAGTTGTCCAGATTTGTTTCGTTTATTGCAAGAGCCTGAATTAGAAATATATTTGTTGACTTAATTCTTTATAGAAAAACTGAACAGAATAGATACGTTAATAAGGACTATAAGGTAAAAGGAGTAACTTGATAAAGGATCAACAAATAAAACCCGCTTACGACAAGAAATGTATTGACAGAGAGCCTTCTTTAGCTAACTAAAAATTTTTTTTTGGTTCACTTAAAGATTCTTGCAGACACTTCCGTTTTTTTTTTGTTTTTTGTTCTCGTAGCGGCGTCTAAGTGGGGACCCCAGGCTGCGCCTTTTCCCCCTTTATACGAATAAGGGGGGGGGGTGAGTGGTATTTTTGGCCAACTGGAATCGTTGGAGGGGGTGGCACAAATATTTTTTCCGCCCCCCCCTGCCCCCTGTTGGCATTTACCCTGGCTACGAAACCTGCCTACCGATGACCCACTGATGAATTGCTCACAGTAAAATGAGGACCTACCGACCAGCTTCGATACTTCAGCCTATGTAACTTGACGATACAAGCCAAGAATGCTCCAAATTTTATTTTAAATATCTGATGATATACTAATGCGATACCGTCCAAGCTCTGACGGTTCACCTTAGGGTAATCGGATGACCTAAGCCCTCACTACTCTATTCCCACCTTAGATTACATGCATATTTGGCGAGACGCCCTGACAGGTGACATCCCTTGGCCAGGTGCCATATTTGGATTGACCCCATTAGGAATATGGGTGTGGTGTACTGACCAGGTAATTAAGGATTGCTTTTAATTCTATTTAACTCATCGAATTCTCCTTGGTTTCTTTTGGACGATATGGCACGTCTTACTTTTTTAAAGTAGACATTTGAGGTGTCATTCATTTTTTTAACCTGGCCAAATAAGACATTTGATATCACTTTTTTCCATATCAGCTATAACGAAATATAAGAATTTATGATAGTGATATCTCCTATAACCAGTTTCTAGGTATGTTTGAATGTATGACTATTACAATGTGTTCAATAGATGCACACCATAAAATTTACGAAAGCAAGCACTAATTGGTGGGTTTTTATACTTAGCGTTACTTGTATCCATAACTTGTCAAGTAACTTTATAGTAGATAAGAGTTCATGCATTGCTGCCGCCATTGTTAGACGAGTTTTATTTCTTCTAGTGTTTAAAGTTTTTCCGCATGTTGGCTCCCGTTTAAAGATGGTTATAATTTTTATGTTTCTGTCCAAAAGATTATGGTCCAACGTTGTCTGGCAGCCAAGAATATCAGCCATAGCAAAGGTGGCTCCGTGTTTGCCGCGGCACTAAAGATTCTGCCTTTTTTCTTGTGGATAGTTCCAGGGATGATAAGTCGGATACTCTTTCCTGGTGAAAAAAAAATATATATTCCACAGTCTTTATGCAATTGAATATCTTGATGAACTTCCTTGTCTTGATGTTCTTCCTTGTCTTAATGTTCTTCCTTGTCTTAATGTTCTTCCTTGTCTTGATGTTCTTCCTTGTCTTGATGTTCTTCCTTGTCTTGATGTTCTTCCTTGTCTTAATGTTCTTCCTTATCTTAATGTTCTTCCTTGTCTTGATGTTCTTCCTTGTCTTAATGTTCTTCCTTGTCTTAATGTTCTTCCTTGTCTTGATGTTCTTCCTTGTCTTAATGTTCTTCCTTGTCTTAATGTTCTTCCTTGTCTTGATGTTCTTCCTTGTCTTAATGTTCTTCCTTGTCTTGATATTCTTCCTTGCCTTAATATAGTACTCACATGTATTATCGTACCTCCATGTCTTGATGCACTTCTGTGTCTTGATGTACTTCCATGCATTGGTGTACTTGCATGACTTGATATACTTCCGTATGACGATGTCAACTCACACTGTGCTGCAATGACTGTCAAGGTTTCTAATATCCCTTACAACGTTTTAAGATGAAATAGCGTGCTCGGACCCCGTCACGTGCAAATCTGCCTGCGGCAACGAGGCTGGGTGTTCTAACATAGCGTATCCTCTCCTTATCATTCGAAGGATGCCACAAGGTAAGACAACTGTGTCAACTAAGCTGGTTGTTCTCACATCGCTGATTGTCTCTTTAGCATAAGAATGCCTCTGGGATGTGATAACAAGTGCTACGGGGTTAGCATACAATGATTATATATCACGTGATAATTCACTTTTTAAATATTTTTGTTTCGAATGGATAACGGAGGTGGGTTCGTGTCTTTTGCCAGCATGGAAGCAAATAAAGTCCCATTTCCAGTCACATGGTGTCGCACTTATTCGACCCAACCGGCGAAGGCGTATTAAAGTTTTGGTGTGCCTGGCCAAGCTTCGAAGCTAAGAGATTGTGTTTGTTAAATTAAAAAAAAAAAATGGGTTATCCGTGTTTTTCAAGCTAGCTGTTCCCATTTAACGAAACAATTTATCAACTCTTCAGAACATCAAATGATGAATATAGCTTGGCTCTAGGTGGGGAATTTTCAGTTTTTAATCTGACTAAATTCGTCATAAGAGTGATAGAAGAGTGATATATGAGTAATAAAATAGTAACGTGAGAGTGATATAAACGTGACATAAGACCTGTGTCTTGTGGACGGCGCTGGCCAGCGAAACATCCGATTTTTAGAAAAACATAAAATGTGTCACATAAATTTAATAATTAGTTCCAGTGAGTGGTTGATTAAAAACAGGGACCCTATACCTCCTAGCATTGCAGCCTGGTCCCAGAAACTCTAGCCCATCTGTTGACCGAATGTCCCTCACGAGATGTTTCAGGGGGGGGGGGAGCAGGGTGGCGGGAGAGTCCTACCAGAGGAGAATATTATATGGCTCAATAAATTGAAAAAGTAGTTCCAGTGAGTGGTTGATTAAAAACAGGGCCCCTATACCCCCTAGCATTGCAGCCTGGTCCCAGAAACTCTAGCACATCTGTTGACCGAATGTCCCTCACGAGATGTTTCAGGGGGGGGGGGAGCAGGGTGGCGGGAGAGTCCTACCAGAGGAGAATATTATATGGCTCAGCTCAATAGATGAAGCTGGTAGCAAATGTATTACCCGGGGGCATACGAGAGTAATCTCAGACCTTCACCAGAACATGTGTGTTAGTGGAAAGGAGTAAAAAATATGCTTACTGGAGCGTATTTTTTTGTATGCCCAAGGCCTCCGTGGTGTTATGTTGGCCGCCCTCCTGGCTGCCCTGATGAGCACCCTGACTTCAATCTTCAACTCTGCGAGCTCCATGTTCACGATGGACATATGGCGGCGGTTCAGGAGGAGGGCGCCTCAAGCTGAACTGATGATCGTCGGGAGGATCTGTGTCCTGGTGCTGATTGGTCTGAGGTAGGGACCATGGGTCAGGGGTCATGGGGTCGTAGTGTCATATGTTTCGTAGACTTTAAAGTTTAAGTTTTTTTTTCTTCCTATACACTAATATCTCTAATGGATTACATCACATGGGCGTCGAATCTGACCGAAGTTCTGCAGTCAGGAACGAGTTTCAATCCTTCATTGTTCTTCTAGACCAAAGAGAGAGAGAGAGAGGAATTATCCCATTGGAAAACTTTGACCCCACGTAGATATATCAGCGCCCACCTTTGCATCCAGTGTATTTGAAGTCACAGCGCACACCGCAGATTTGACCGGTCAATAAGTGTAAACAAAGTTTCATTCAAAGATTCTTTACTAACATCAATATATCTGTTGTCATAAGAAATCAAATAGCTCTCAAATAATTCATCGCGTAGAAGTAAGCGTATATTTATTAAGACGTAGGTTGTATGTTGTCATCAAACATGAACGATCTTACTACAAGAATCTCTTTCAGTGTCTTTTGGATCCCAATAATGGAGACATCGCAAGGCGGACAACTCTGGACATATCTACAAACAATTTCATCGTGCATTTCTCCCCCCTGGGTCTGGGTGTTTCTTCTTGCCCTGTTCTGGCGGAGAACCACAGAAGCGGTGAGTGAGTAAAAGTGGTGAGGTTCTTGGGGTATTCACTTTCTTTATTCTTGTCAATATTTAAACAATATGAAAAACAGGAATATAAAGTCCTAAAAACAGACAGGCGTGCTGTGCTTTGTTTTAATGAAAGTTTGGAATCTAACAAAAAAAAGTTATCAAGCTCTTCAAACAAACTTTTTTAACAAACTCGTTTGTTCTGAGAACCATTGATCCTTTACCAAATCATGACCTACCCTTTAGAAGAGATGCATCCCACTCAATGCTTCTCAGCTTCCATCTATGGTTCAAAGGTGACAAGTGTCAACATCAACAAGAATCAAAGCTGACAAGAGTCAACATCAACAAGAATCAAAGCTGACAAGAGTCAACATCAACAAGAACCAAAGCTGACAAGAGTCAACATCAACAAGAATCAAAGCTGACAAGAGTCAACATCAACAAGAATCAAAGCTTACAAGATAAAGTCCTAAAACAGACACAGGGATCAACAAGAATCAAAGTTGAAACGAGTCAACATCAACAGGAATAAAAGTTTACAAGGGTCAACATCAACACAGATCCAAAATCCAAAGTTGACCAGGGTAAACGGTGCTCTCTTCCTTCAAAAAACGTGCACTTACAAAGGTTCCCCCACTGTATTTTCAACAGGGTGCATTCTGGGGTCTCATAGTAGGTCAGATTGTTGGTCTCATTCGTATGGTCATACAGTTCACCTACACGGCCCCGAGCTGTGGCAGCTTTGAGTCGGACACGCGACCGGCAGTTCTGAAAAAAGTCCATTTCTTACATTTCGCCATCATCCTGTCCGGCGTGACCATCATTACCACCGTGGTCATCTCACTGTTCACCACTCCGAGGCCACCGGAAAAGGTTAGTGAACTATTCCGTTGATATAAGAATGCTTTAAAAAAATAAAATAAAACTGCAGTCATTGAGATGTTTTCAATGGAATAATAATTGCAGGGGTTCAATGGTTTTCCCTACGTGGTCATACTCCGCGTAGTTTCATAGCTTTTAATATCTGTTTAAAAGTAACACAAAAAATATAATATAATAGGTTGGGAAGGAAGAAAATAACAAAAAAATGGGAATTCGACTATAGATTACAACTTGGCATTAGATATCACTTTCTCTTTTATTGATGACCCTTCCCCCACCCCCTCCCCAGCTTCGTCGTGTTACGTGGTGGACAAGAAATGACCCCCTTGACCCCGAGGAAACAGAATCTGAAGATGATTTTGGCGTGGAGGAGGAGGAAGACGATAATGACAAGGTCAAACGTACGCATTTTATGAGAAATTGTCGGCCAGTTTAAACACTTGACACTTAGTGGGGAATAGAGTGTTAGGGCCTGTTTAAAACGGACGCTTAGTGGGAAATAGAGTGTTACGACACGTTTAAACACTTGACACTTAGTAGGAAATGGAGTGTTACGACACGTTTAAACACTTGACACTTACTAAGAAATGGAGTGTTACGACACGTTTAAACACTGACACTTAGTAAGAAATGGAGTGCTACGGGCAGTTTAAACATTGCCAATTAAGTAGGGAATAGAGTGTCACCACCAGTTTAAACACTGACACTTAGTAGGAAATAGAGTGTTACGACCAGTTTAAACACTGACACTTAGTAGGAAATAGAGTGTTACGACCAGTTTAAACACTGGCGTTCGGTAGGAAACTGAAGTATAAAGAAGAAAATCAACTGAATAGGATTACCATGAAAGTTTAATTTTAATGTCCTGTAAACTAGTATAAGAAAGGCCAATACTTGACGTAAAGGAAGCAGCATTTTCCTTTTCTTTACACTCAGTCAGATATAGACTTATTAGATTATTAGTGGTCCTGCTTACAGTGTTACACTCCTTCAGATATAGAATTATTATATTATTAGTGGTCCTGCTTTAGAATTATTAGATTATTAGTGGTCCTGCTTTAGAATTATTAGATTATTAGTGGTCCTGCTTACAGTGTATCATTCCTTCAGATATAGAATTATTAGATTATTAGTGGTCCTGCTTACAGTGTTACTCTCACTCCCATATAGACTTATTAGATTATTAGTGGTCCTGCTTACAGTGTTTTGTAACAAACTTTGTCCTTTAAAAAATATTTTCGCTCGTAACCTTTAACAGTTTGACCAGTGATTCTCAAACTTCCTAATGCTGTGACTCTTTAATACAGTTCCTCATGTTGTGATGACCCCTAACCATGAAATGTGTTGCTGCTTCATAAATATTTTATTTCCAACGGTCTTAGTCGACTCCTTTGTAAGGGAGGTTCGGCCCCCCCCCCCCCAAGGGGTCGCAACCCCAGAGGTTAAGAACCACTGGTTCAGAAAATTTTTTATTTCCAACGGTCTTAGTCGACTCCTTTGTAAGGGAGGTTCCCCCCCCCCCCCCCAAGGGGTCGCAACCCCAGAGGTTAAGAACCACTGGTTCAGACGGTTTAGCAGTAGACCTTCAATTCACTTCTAGGCTTTTTTTGTTGTGTTTACTATACGTTGGTTTTATTTATACCAGTTGCAATGGTGTCCACGAAGAAAAGATTCGGCCGCTTGGTCTACAACTGGATGTGTGGTATAGACGATCGTCCCAGGCCGAAGCTCACGACAGAGGACAAAGTAGCCATCAAGAAGAAAATGAAAGACATCGAAGAGGAGCCACGGGCCAAGATGATTTGTGCGATCGCCGCCGTCACAGTGGCTGGAACTACGACATTTTTGTTGGGATTTTTCTACTAGTTCCCATCTCATTGTGCGTGGAATGAAAGAACAAGGAACATTTATTCTGTTTTTTATGTTGCTTTGTTCGCTGACAAAGACTTCCTGCCAACACGTTCGTTGTTTTGTTGCGTTCCTTTTTCAGGTTTAACCTTACTTTGAATTTCTAATGTAATATCAAGCAGGGGGGTGGGGCTGAACATTTGAGAAAACACGCATACAAGTAACGTACGTTATAAGAATCCCAATGAGTGCTGCCCCCTCCCAAGGTTTGCAATCGCACACTTTTTTTTCAGGCCGCTAAACTATATTATTACTAGAATAAATGATCCGATGTTATCGGGGTATTAACGGTAGGTCCTTTGTGATAATTTCTACCTGCTATTACAAAAATTCATCACAATTCCTAACTTTAAAAATAATTATCTATGTAATGCTATTTACGTTTCTAACATCATTAAGTTTTGAGAAGTATTTATCTGCTATATATTATACGCCTACCCTACTCCCCTTCACTCCCGAAACTACTTTTTTTCCCTCTAAACATGAATTTAAATTACCTATTCTACAGTATCACTAATTAAATCACTTTTGTCACTAAGAAGTTAATTGAAGGAAGATTTATACGCTAGAGAAATACTTTTAGATTTACCTCTTTTCGTGCACTTTGACTACAACATTTTTTTCCCTTAAAAATTGTTAATAAACATAATCTTAATTGTTCATATATGATATAAATGTATTTTATATTAAATGTATTTGATATTCAAGGTATTTGATATTCAAGGTATTTGATCTCTTGATATCTTCATCAAAAATTTAAACACGCTTTTGCCTTGTTTTTTTTTAAAATTATAAATTATCAGAAAATCGTAAAACAAGAAATTCTTTTATTTTAAGACGAATCTCGCAACCGTTTTTCACCTTTATAACAGATTTGAGTGTCTTTTTTTTCAAATTGTCAATCTCATAAAATACACACCACTTTACTTTTCGCAAAGTAAAAAAAAAAAGATATTTTAATTTTTGTAAGAAAATATAAACCCATCTCCAAGTGTATAAAATGATTGGGTTGTGATATTCATGAGTATACTTATATAAATGTACCCATTGCCTACCTGCGATATGTATGTACCCAAGAAGGTTGATTATTTATCAAATTCATTCCTTTATTTTGAGACGTATCTTTTCCTGCCTGGGGCAAAATGAACATACCCATATTTGTAAAAAGAGAATGTAACATCTCTTTTTTCACAAATGTAATACCATAGGATTTAAATATATTGTCATCCACGTAAAAATGTACACATCCTATTTCCTACCTCCAATATGTATGTACCGAAGAAGGCTAATTATTTATCCTAATTATTTATCAAATTCATTTCTTAATTTTGAGATCATCCCCCCCCCCCAGATTTTAATAAAATTAATAAAATCTTCCACCGGATTGTAGTCCCTAACATACCCAAACTAACATATTTTGCACTTACTATGATTTGTTCTTATTTGGATGAATTATAAGTGGATTAATGAATGCTATTTGGCTTTGGAGTTTCGCGATACTGATTGTCTTAAAGGAACTTTCTTATTAGAAGTATTGGAAGGTTAGTTTTTATTACGTTTAAATTTAATAAAAGTATATTTTTGGAATTTTAAAAAAGTAAACTTTTTAAATGTTAAAAATAAAAAGCTAACATTTTGTGTGTTTTATTAACAATTTAAAAAGCAATCAAGTATATTGACTAATTTTACTTTTAAGAATGGGAAAATACATTATCAGTTTTGTAACGCGCGGTCATTAAATCAAAGAAACTTGAGTTTAGGCTTCCCTTGCCACCCTCGCTTGCCAGCCAGGCGTCTGCTAAGCCGCGGGTCTGCGTGAAATAAAAAGTGTGCTGTGCCGTATCATGAACAAAAAAAAAAGGGGGGTGGGGGGGGGGTGTAGCAAAATTGGCATTCTTAAATGTGCGTAACTTGAGTTCACATTTTTTGTCAAGTAACTTCAATCGATGGGAATTTCACGCATTGCTTTCGCCAATGTTTGGCGGGCTACATCTAGTATGAATATTTACTTTCCCATCCGCTTTTTCATCGCAGATTCATTACACCCGTTATTTCTGTAAAACAGAAGAAAACATTAGCTACCAGACGCACTTGAGATATTTTTTAAAAATCTCATTCAGCGCAGGTATCGTGAATTTTATTTCGTGCAAACGGTGGCACCTGGTAGCGTTAAAACTCAGTTTTATGGATTGGGGCTGAAAATTTGATAGAATGTGTTGTCATCGTCAACGAGTGTATTTGCCAAGATGGGGAAAACAGCTTGTGAATGATAAAACTAAGATGAAGAAATATTCATTCTTATCAGCAAAATAAATTAAACAAACACTTAAAATAAAAAAAAGTAACTTAAGAATCTATTTTAGTAACAATTTAGATTGTAGACGGCCTGCTTATATATTATATCTATATATTTATTTAAAATATAACTATTCCAATTTTTTTTTTAAAAAAGCTTGTCACGAAGACTCCATGGTGATAAGACGTAAGTTTAACCCACCTGGTAAATCTAATGAGTATACATTTTCTTGAAAGAAGGTCATCGACCAAACAGACATGGTATAAATTTCATTGATACTTGGTGAGTGTGTCACAGAATAGTTTTAGTATGTATATGGTGTGTAAAAAAAAAAGCCGTACTGCCATGACACAAAACGATACGTGTGTCGCATACGTTGGGGCCCTGACTTGTCTGGGAAGACCAAGAACCAATTACCTTTCGAACCCCGCAACCCCCCCCCCCCACTTTCCCCACCCCACACCCGTACACCATGCACAATTGACCACGCCTCATGATCTGAGTAACCCACTTACGGTGTGTGTACATCATAAAACAATGCCAATGTGCTGTGTACATTGCTTGTCAATAATTTACGTGTGTGTGTGCGTGTGTATGTATGTGTGTGTGTGTGCAGGTGATCAACGATTACCTTATCTTGATGAGAATGAACGGACCCCGATTTCAACTGATAGAACATAAATAGTCTTTCATGTAATATGGATTCAAGTACAATTATTCGGGTTAAAAAAAAGAGGGGTTTGGGGGGGGGGTGTGGGGGGGGGTGTGCCCTGATCAAACTCATCAGAGCTGAAGTTCAGATAAGCCAAAAGTTGATGTCCAGAGGTTCTAAAACGGGTAATCGGCTGAAGGATACATGAACTGAAGGAGGAAACAGAAGGGGGGGGGTGGGGGGGGGGGGGTGTGCCCTGATCAAACTCATCAGAGCTGAAGTTCAGATAAGCCAAAAGTTGATGTCCAGAGGTTCTAAAACGGGTAATCGGCTGAAGGATACATGAACTGAAGGAGGAAAAAGAAGGAGAGGGGAGTATGATCATTGAAATTCCATGTTACATACGTCATACATTGAGTTAGTTATGCTATACACGTCACACATTGAATAGCTGTATAATATCCTAAAATACTCTCTAGGCATATGTTTTTTGAATAGGTACAACAATCAGATTCTTTTAGCTCATTCCTTCTGTAGCTTTCTTGGGCTCACCAAAACCATTCATTTTTAAATGTGCATACTATTGTTCTACTTATCGTTTCCCATCACATATACCATGTGAAATAGTCAGGAAAAAGTTGGGACATGCGTCTGCAGTAAATGATTGATAGGTCAGCAGTAAACGATGGGTAGGTCAGCAGTATACGACTGATACGTCAGCAGCATGCGATGGGTAGGTCAGCAGTAAACGACAGGTAGGTCAGCAGTATACGACTGATAGGTCAGCAGTATACGATGGGTAGGTCAGCAGTAAACGACAGGTAGGTCAGCAGTAAACGACAGGTAGGTCAGCAGTAAACGATCGATAGGTCAGCAGCAAAAGGTTGATAGGCTAGCAGTAAACGGTTGATACGCCAGTCCAAAAAAATATCGAAAATTTACTCATCGAGATTTCACGAGGAAAGCCCCCACCCCTCTTAAAAAATGAGTTATTATACATTACCAAATGAGAACCACTGTTAACAAGCTTAAGTTGGGAAAAAATGTTATAGACAAAAATATACGGCCCACAGAGAGGCAAGTATTGAGTGCCTTAAAGGAAATTTGAAACTTTAGAATTAGTTTTACTGCAGGGAAGGGCTGTTGCTGAATACTCTCCTGAAGGTGAGTCGGTTAGTTAGCAGATCTATCTGAAATGTGGAGTTGTTTGCATAAACATATAGAGATTTATACAATGAAATTTACCGCTAATGGTGATCAGATCATAGGCCAATCATCTTGAACTGTCGGACAATCCAAGCTGCTATTGTTTATGAGAATGTCACTAATTTACGCATACAGAAAACATGACGTATGTCAAGATTTAATTAAGGAACTAGCAGTAGAAGATCAGGACTAACAGGTAAAATCTCAGCATAAAGAAGACAGGGACTAGCAGGTAAATGGCAAACAATACAGAAGACAGGGACTAACAGGCAAATAGCAAACAATACAGAAGACAGGGACTAACAGGCAAATAGCAAACAATACAGAAGACAGGGACTAACAGGCAAATAGCAAACAACACTGAAGACAGGGACTAACAGGGAGATAGCAAACAATACAGAAGACAGGGACTAACAGGCAAATAGCAAACAATACAGAAGACAGGGACTAACAGGCAAATAGCAAACAATACAGAAGACAGGGACTAACAGGCAAATAGCAAACAATACAGAAGACAGGGACTACCAGGTAAATAGCAAATAATACAGAAGACAGGGACTAACAGGCAAATAGCAAACAATACAGAAGACAGGGACTAACAGGTAAATAGCAAACAACACTTAAGACAGGGACTAACGGGTAAATAGCAAACAATACAGAAGAAAGAGACTAACAGGCAAATAGCAAACAATACAGAAGACAGGGTCTAACAGGTAAATAGCAAACAATACAGAAGACAGGGACTAACAGGTAAATAGCAAACAACACTGAAGACAGGGACTACCAGGTAAATAGCAAACAATACAGAAGACAGGGACTAACAGGTAAATAGCAAACAATACAG